AACGCAATCGCTTTCCACGTAATTTCAGAGACAAATAATGACCTGAATCAAGTTTCTCAACCGCCTCTCGAAGGGCGACCGCAAGCCTGGACACATATGTCTTGATGTCCTCCTCGGATATGAGTAGCTCTGTGCTCGTCTCATTGACGTAAGTCTTGAGAAATGCAAGCAGGATATGTATCCATTCGCGGTCACGCGGCTTTCCGAGGTCAGCGTGTGTATCAATTGCCCGCGAAAGCATAAACGACTCGAGGGATGTCCACATATGAGGAGCGTAGTGGGCTGGTAGGGACGAAAATATCGTAAGTGCGTTTGAAAGTCGTCCTCGGTGACTGCATGTTGAACACTCAGCACCACAGATGAAACAGAACGACAAGCCTACATGTCCAAGGCCGCGAGGCTCCCATGGAGCTTGAGAGCAAACTTTCGTCGCCCCGCTTTCACATACATGTCAATGGCGCGATTTGAGATGGCTGTGTATAAGTCGTAGAAGGCCTCGCTTTCCCCAACTGCAAGCATGATCTCGTGCTTGCTTATGTGGTGGGCTGAAGACCTCTTGTCGGAGATGAGTGGGGAAGACAATTGGGCTGGGGCTGGTATCGCCAGGGAGAATGGTGATTTTGAGGGTAAGTGTCCGACTTTGACACCGAGGATGTCGAGCTACATGCTGAATGAACATCATAATATCCTCGCGCCAGCAAAAACACAGACCTGAGATTTTGCAAGCTCGATCACCTCTCCCTTACTTGCGCTGTACCGTGCGACGGGTATACCCTCCATCTCCGGCCATGACGTGGCCCAGGCGTCACACTGGTCAACGACGCTAAGGGCAGAAGAGAATGTCCAAGACTCGATAAAATATTCTGGGAGAGAGGGCTACGAAATCGTATGAGTTCATGATATGAGATACATCGATACGCGCTCTAACCTCAACCTCCCTCAGTCGTCTTCCGAACGTGCTCAAAAATGTGAGTGCCTTACGACAGATCTCTGCCGGCTGGTGCATCTTGCTTAATAGCGCGGTTTGTCTTGCTAGTAGATATATCCGGAAGTCGAAGACAGATATTGTGTTGGCAAGGATAAGGTCGCGGTAAGGTTTCTTAGAGATGGATAAAAGTGGCAGCGAATCGTCCTTAGGTGCTGGGTGGATAAGACTTCCAAACCATGACATATTCTTCTCCCTCAGAACCTGCATGAAAGCGGCTTCGAGCTCGTTGTACTGCTGTAACGCATCCTCGAAGAGATTGACACCTTCATATGAACTTGCCAGACTTTCCTAGATGACGATATTTCCTTAGAATATTGCGGACATGATATTTGCGCGATTTACCTTCAGTATGAAATACGTGCAGAAATTCCATCCTGGCATGTGCCGTTGGCCCTCGGATCGCTTGACTTCCTCCTCTCTTGATGACACAGCGGCATCAAGGGCAGAAAGCAGTCCATCCTTGATCTTGTTTATGAGGTCGGCCCAAACTGCGGGACTCTGCTCGCCAGCGGACCAGGCCAGCTGCACGCATCTATACGGCACGGTTCGACAAACATCCAGAATTCAAAGTAACGTATGCCAGTACCTATCTCGCTTCTCGACGTTGAAATCTGCCTTGATCTTGTCCAACACGGAACCCTTCATGTTGAAGAACTTGCGGTCCACTATTTTTGTGTCTGGACGCACGACATGTACTATCAACCATTCTTGGTTCTTCCGTGACATGACGGATGTTAGCCAGTCCTTGATCTGCTTCTTGACGGTCGTTCTGTAGGTTTCGTTGTCCTATACAGTGATGTAGCGAACAAGTGTTGTTTATATACGAGGTCACATACCTCGCATACCACGACAAATAGGTTCAGGAGAGGTTTCTCCAGAAGGGTCATGGGAACCTGAGAAGTGTGCTCGCCGCGCAGAGAGTCAAGCGCAACCAGTGTAACCTCGAGCTCCTGGATGGTGCGTATGCTGCGTCGAGAAGCTGACTTCCAGTGGATACTTCGTAGGGGTAATTGGGAACGCAGTGCAGCGATGACTTGTTTGTAGCCATCGGGAGGCTGGAAGGAAGGAGAAGCAGCGAACGTCGCCAGAATATGCTGGTTCGACATTCCGGGCAGTCTCGCGTCTATGATTTAAACACGCTCATACGAAGCTTTATACCTGTTATCCGGACGAGCGGAAAGCCCCTCGACTATACGTATACCGAGGCTCAGACGGTTAGGTTGGTCGAAGACAAAGTATTCCCTACTTCGGTATCCTATGTAAGCGTGGAAATTTTAGATTATTTTGACTATGTACTAAGGTCTAACCACACCCATCTGCAGCTGCGGGTCAAGCAAGTTCTCTCGCAAATCGAGACCCTGCTTTAAAGCGGTCATTAATATGCCAGGACCGGAGGAAGCAAGCACGTCCACTTCAGCAGCAGAAACCTTTAGGGACCTTGGCCTGATCGAACCTCTCCTCCAGGCACTCGATCAAATCAACTTCAAGACACCTACAGAAATCCAACAACAAGTCCTCCCCCATGCCCTCGAGGGTCGCGACATTATAGGCGTTGCGGAGACGGGATCTGGCAAAACCGCTGCATTCGCTCTGCCTATTCTACAAAAACTATGGGAGGAGCCAAAAGGACTCTTCGCATGCGTGCTCGCGCCCACCCGCGAACTCGCGTACCAAATATCACAGCAATTCGAGTCTCTGGGTGCAGCGAATGGGGGTTAGGTGTCTAGTGCTCATTGGAGGTGTGGATAAAATGCCCCAGGCTGTCGCCCTTGCGAAGCGGCCACATATAATTGTCGCGACCCCGGGTCGTCTCAATGACCACCTCCAGAGCACGAAGGGATTCAGTCTAAGAAATCTGAAATTTTTGGTATGCCTTACACTTTCCAAATATCGTGGATCCTCTTGCTGATGTCTGCAGGTAATGGACGAGGCCGATCGCCTGCTGGATATGGACTTCGGTGCTGACATAGACCAAATCCTTAAAGTGATACCAAAGGAGCGGACTACCTACCTCTTCTCTGCGACGATGACTACCAAAGTTGCAAAACTCCAAAGAGCCAGTCTATCAAATCCTATACGTATCGAGGTGTCATCGAAGTGAATAATTCGACTGTTCTTCTACGAGGCGTACTAATCTGCGACCTTTAGATATCAAACAGTATCGACTCTACTACAATATTATCTCTTCGTGCCATTAATACACAAAGACGTGCACCTGATATATCTTGCAAACGAATTGGCCGCGAATTCTATCATGATATTCACCCGGACAGTGCATGATGCTCAGAGGTCAGTGCTCGGTATCACGAGCTTCGGTTCTAGCTGATGCAGTACTGCAGGCTGTCCATTATACTCCGTACCCTCGGATTCCCAGCTGTTCCCCTTCACGGCCAACTTAGTCAGAGCCAGCGATTGGGCGCACTGAATAAATTCAAAACCGGTGGTCGGAAGGTTCTTGTAGCAACCGACGTTGCCAGTCGGTGGGTAAAATGTAGCAATCCCACTCCTTCCCCGCATTGACCATTCCAAACAGTGGCCTTGACATAGCCTCTGTGGATGTAGTGATCAATTTTGACATTCCGACCCACTCAAAAGACTATATCCATCGTGTTGGACGTACAGCACGTGCAGGACGTGCCGGCAAGTCAATAACGATGGTCACACAATACGACGTCGAATTGTTGCAACGGATAGAAAAGGTTATCGGCAAAAAGCTCGAATTGTTTCCTACTAGTAAAGAAGAAGTGATGCTTCTTAAGGAGCGTGTAGACGAGGCTGGTCGATTAGCTGTCAATGAGTTGAAAGAGGAGGCAAAGTCTGGTGGTGGTAAAAAGCGGAGAAAAGGGGAGGGAGGACCGGGAAGAGATGATAAAGATCGGGATGATGACGTCGTCGAAGCTGGCATGCCGACGAATAAAAAATTCAAGGGACGTAGATAGTTGTATGCATTTGGAATACCAGATAACACCATATACTTTACGGAAAACAGGATCTAATTCATGAACATGAGGTCTGAGCGCAGAACGTACTTCGTCCCTTTACGAACAAGAGAGCCTTCATGCAGCAAGCATTCATTTCCGTGCCTGTGTTTGATGATGAGTAGTTGGGAAACATAAAATGAATGTAGAGACGAACCGATGGAGCAACGCAGTACCGCGAGCAAGGGGGGCTGTGATAGTTTCACGAGGCTTCCCTCTTTCTTCTCTGTAGAAGAGTGTCTAACAGGACAGAGTAAGACGCATAGTAAGCATACATGTTAACACATACCTCTCCGCCTTCGACACCATCCTCGACGCCACTCAAATAAATCAAGAGCGTCCACTCCGACTTTGCACCTGTTGCACGGTCCTTTACGGATTCATCGTAGTGAGCACCAAAGTGCTGAGACGGTGTATACTTATACATGCGAATGTTCGAATTGCACGAGTGCGGCAACCGTGGGTGAACACTGCGGACTGGTCGTCTGACTGAGAGTGGATGGGGAAATGACGGAAGGTGGGGCAACAACAAGGAGTGCAGCTTCTCAGCAAATGGTGCAGAAGTCACCGAGAACCTGTCTAGGCATAGAGTCGCATAATAAACTCTCGTCGACACAGAGTGTAGGTCACGCTCACAGTTTAGTCTATCAGCCTCCCCCTTCTTCTTCGGCGGCGTAAGCTCAAGAGGCAGCTCATCGATGAATTGGGCAAAACGCTTGCATTCCTCAGGGGATAGAAATTCCTGCCCGGAACTTGAGGACAGCCATTCAGAGATGAGCCGTTAGTGCAAAGGGACGAACATCAATCAGGATGATCTGGTCTTCAAGGAGCATGCGGCGCTCCAGAAAGTCCTTGGATGTTATGTGAGGAAAAGATACCATCTGAGAGGTTGGACTCGGTTTGGGTGATGCTGTCGTCGCGGACCTTTTTATCCTCTTGGACATCACGCCGCAAAAGCTCTGAACGGTACTGTTCCAATGCAGAGGAGAAGTCAAACTTAAAGGAGGTGAGGCCGAACTCCAAACAAAAATGGACTGCCCCAGTGAGGCTCGAACTCACGACCTTCCGATGTGACTTGGTGAGTAACAGTCGGACGCTGTAACCAACTCAGCCATGGGGCACGCACTTTTGTCAGCAGTGAACTCATCTAATGTGATACAATACACCTTGCACCTGACTCAGGCTGACTGAGCTAATTGTCAGCGAAACAGGGGGGTATTGGTGTACTGAGACCCGCACCCGCACGCCTTATAGTATGATCATTCGGTCGCACGCGGGAACGGATTGCCAACACTAAGGAGCATTAGTTTTGGTGCCAGACTTCGTAACTTACCAGGTATTAGGGCGACCAACCACTTGGCACTGGTAACCGATAAGAATGGATGGTCAAAGTATACATAGAGGTTACATAGACTCGGAGGTACAGAAAAAGATTAGAGAACTCTCTTCCTAAACATGACCTTTGCACTACGGTTGGCTATAGTGAAAGGGCCAACCCGTAAACTCTTCGGACGAGTGACACCATCCTCCAATTTGATATCGTACGACACTACAATGTGGGCCAGCATGGTTTTGAGTACACTCGCTGCATAAAACCGACCAGGGCTATAGTAAAAGCATGAGATGATCATCGTCAAGAGAGGGGAGAAGGATCATACCAAGCATGTCTGCCATGTCCGAATGCCAAGTACTGAGGGTTAGTCGAGACCAACTGATGCTTGAAACCTCCATCCTCGTCACGCATGTTGGCAAATCGGAATGGATCGAACAGGTGCGCATTTTCGTACAGTTCGTTGTCCAGGTGCATAGGTCGGGAGGCCACAACAACAGTTGTTCCACCCGGTAGGAACGTCCCATCGGAGAGCGTGAGGTCTTTCATGGTTTTACGCAACATGCTCACTGATAGAGTAATGAGTTTAGTCCTGCACGAATATGAAGCGAACATACAAGAACCCAATCCCTCTATGCGTTGGCTCTCTTTCAGGAAACTGTCAATTTTACGCATCTTCCCTAATGCGGCTTTCGACCAGCCCGCGGTTTCGACGATTGATTCTACCTCTTCACGGAGAGGTTGTATGTATTGTGGATTAGCTGCCAGATTGTAGAGCACTTGAGTGAAGATCTGGAATGCACGATGGTGTTAACCCCCCGCTCAGGACGACCATGCCAGACTTACATTCGAAGATGTCTATGATGAAGATCTACCACCTGAGCGTCCATGTTATGAGAGTAAATAGGCACTTACACAAATAGCAGCAAAGTTGGCTGCCAGTATACGCTTCGTCAAACTCTTTACTGTCCGTTCCGAACCCTCTGCTTTGTCCATCAACCACGATAGAAGATCGTTCTACCAAACATCAGTGAGCTATTCTGCAATAGCGAACGGAGCGACAGATAGGTTTATCGGCCCACGTTGTGCCGTACTTGTCAAGGCACTTCTGTCGTTCTTCAATGATCGGACCAAGGTGCTCCATGCCATGCTTGGTGTCCCCAGGAATACTCGTCATGAATTGTCCGACAAGACTGTCGAGGATTCAGATCTGGTTTTCGAAGGTGTGTCGGTGACTTACGGTGCCATGAATATGGGAAACAGCCCAATTATCATTGCTCCTTTGAGAACGTCCAAAGTAAATTGTAAACCGAGGTCTACCCAATCCGGATTACGGCCTACATCAAAAGAACTAAGAAGACGAAAGCGCATGAAGGAAGGCAGGTTACATACATAAGGGAAGACCAACAGATACCCTGTTGATGGTCCTGCAGAGGACTCGCTCGATAGTATGGACTGCCGGCACGCTCTTCCATTCTGGGATCCAGTGAATGCCCAACCCCAACGACGATAACTTCCAGCTTACCATTGTCTTTAAGATCTAAAATGTCTTCCAATGCCGTGACTACCTCGTCTCTAATGTCAGGGTACAAGGTTCCAATATTCCGAACGAGCTGGGAACGAATGATTGGAGTATGGTAGGGGTTATGATAGATGTCGTGACCCAGCGTGTGCTCGACCTTCATACTCTGTCGATGACCCTCGGTAGTAAGAGCCCAGAACTCGCCAGAGCAGACTTGGTACCCACGTCGTTTGCAGCCTCCACAGCAGATAGCTCGTCATCAGGGCGCCTTGCTATGTCTTCCAAATACTGGGAGCCGCTCACGACAACTAACCAGCGATGGAGAGTTGCAACCTTGAATGGCGCAGCCTTGTGCTGCAAATATCGTGAAATCACATCCCGTAAAAACCGTGAACAACTACCGTACTTTGTCATAACCCTCTTGGATAACGTATATTCCATCGATAACAAACTTGATCCCAGCCCACCACGATCCCAGCCAGGTGGTCGATCCAACAGTCGGAATTGTATCCAGCTATTCAAAAATGTAAACTTTGGGGTGTGGGGGACAGTGCTTCGCACGTACCTTTGTGGGCTTGGACAACAACGTGATCACGGAGGCGGCGACAACAATGCATGCAAGGCTGCCTGAGACATTGTCTGGTAGTGGTACTTGGAGCTGCATTTGACGGTGTTAGGCTGAGTGGTATGGGGGGAAGGGGGTAGGAAAGGGCTTAGGAAAGGGTGCAGTGATCTCCCGTGCCTTAAGAGCCCCCTCGACGCAACCACGCTCATATCCCGGGAGGCGACTAAACGAACGGAGTTTAGTACGGAATCTATTGTTGACTTCATGTCGTTGAGCGATTGATTCGCTTGCCTCACTGGCAGTTCCGAAAACTCGACCAGGGGTCCTTCGGTTCGGGCCCAACCAGCAGTCGAGAACCTCCAAGGTCTCGCCTGACTCCATGAAAGAACCATGTCGATGCACGGCAGTTCTGTCAACTGTGCACCACCTTTTGCTTAAGTGAAGAGTTGGCCGTTATCTGGTAGACTAGTCTGGACCATTGAGATTACATTTATACTGTTGGGACTGGACTTCTAGACTGGCCATTGAGATTATACGCTGTTGAGACTAGACTGGTCATTGAGAGTAGACTTGCCATTTAGATTATACGCTGTTGAGACTAGACTGACCATTGGGTGTAGACTCGCAGAGTCGCAGTCGAGAGTATACGCTGTTGGGGACTTCTAGACTGGCCATTGACCCGCCATTGAGATTATCCCTGTTGTGGAACCACGACAGCTACTGCCGCAATATGATTGCCATGGTTAGCCATGCGCATGCATTATAAGGCCTTAAGGCATACCTTTCCCACTTATCATTTAATTGGATGCTCAATTCTTGAGTTGTCAAGCATCTAAAAGTTGACAATAGCCGACTCAGAGTCAAAAATGGAATAGTCTACTTACAGTGCGGCTTGCACAACCTTTAAGTTCAACTTAGCAAAGTCCCTAGTATTGAGTGTTAGGTGACCTGTTCTCACTCGGGTTCTATTCGGCTCCAACCTCCAAAGTTTTTCAGGTCCCAGCATGCCGTGAGGTTGCAGCATCGTCAGGACCCTCAGCACCGCGCTTAATGTAAGCTTTAATTTAATATCTTAGGCACTATATAAGACCCTCCTCCCGCCCCTCGCGTGCCCAACTCCCTCCCGCTGTTGGCAAGCATTGTTGCTGACAGTGCGGAGGAAGTCACGTGACCGACCAAACAAAAGGGTGATTTTTGCTACATTATTTATATAGAACTTATTTAAATCCTCAATAAATCAATTTTGTAGTGATAAAAACTCTGAGAACAACACCAAAATGAGCATCGAGGAATAGTGTTCGTCATCGAGGACAGCGAGCACGAAGGTTTCGGCACAGTCTGTGATGATGACAAAGCTGCTCGAGACAGTGTTGTCCATTTTAGGCAAGACGCGGCGGCAATTTCCTAAAATGGCACCGATTCAAGTACTTTTTAATTTTTTGCTTAGTGTTCCTTGGTTGCGTCGCGTAAATAAAATAAATGCCCAATGTACTAGTGCTCGCAGTGCCCAAGAGTGGCGCCCAAATGTTGCCAGTAATGAGCACAACAATGCTGTCGACGTCTTGCACGACGTCGAAGCTATTACCAGAAAAGGAAAATGAATTATTGACACTACGTTATCCAGTTAGTTGCTTGCGGGGTCTCTTACATACAAACTAACGACAACTTGCTGGTACCTATTTCAGGGTTGCGCTAAAACGCCCGAGTGAGAACAGGTAACACAACACCGCTAGTATTTTGTGGAGTTAACTGTTGAAATTGCTCGTGCTTTGCATGCCACCCATCCTCATTCTGTATTCAAACATGATAACACATCTCATTACCAAAAATGTAGTGTGTTCTCGCCTCTTTCCCGCAAGTGTAATGATTACTGTAAGACAAGCACCAGAACTTTACTTGCATGTTTGGTCGGGTTTCGTGGAACAAATATGTATGTGCTAACTTCGACTGATCAATTCATCCTTTCATCCTTGGATGAAAAGGTAAAATGGACTGCCCCAGTGAGGCTCGAACTCACGACCTTCCGATGATGTAGTACAAGACATAGAGAGTAACAGTCGGACGCTGTAACCAACTCAGCCATGGGGCATGTATCGTAATTAGAAGACTGGACATCATCATCGTGTTTCAAAAATTTCAACCTCGAGAGTCCAAATTAGGTTGTGTGAGTTGAAGTATACAACATTTTTGTGCTGAAACTGAAGCACATGAGGGAGTCCAGCCGCACACCGTCCCTGAAATGTTACAGTGCGGAAGGGTTGGGAATGCCTGAACGTTGTTGCTAACCCTTTAGTCTCGAACCCACTTTACATACATATTCCGTGCCCTTGCAAAAAGCGTGTCAAAAAGCGTCACCTGAGCGATTCGAACACTCGCGGGCAAAGCCCAACCGCTTGGCTGTTAGCAGGCGATCCCGTTAACCACTCCGGCAAAGTGACTTGTTAAACAACCGCAAGCTGTTTTCATTGATCACATACCATAGAACACAGACCTCGACCTCCGAGTCCTCTAGGTAAGTCGGAAGGTATTATTTACTTCTTCCACAATAAAACGAACATCTCCCAGCTTTCTATACAAATTCGTTCATGTACTGAAGCATGTTATTCACCTGATCTTCCGTTACTGCGTTGTAAAGGGAAATGCGGACACCTGATTCTGTGTTAGCACATTCATAATTTTGGAGGCGGTGAACGTACCTCCAACCGACCTAGAACACAAGATCGCTGAGTAGGATGCATGTATGAGACCGGAAGATCACTCACCGATGACCCTTGATGCCCCCCATGCCCCTCTGTTCAGCACCAGATACAAATTGCTTCAGTTTTTCCTCCCCGCCAACTACGTCGAACACCACATTCATCTTGCTGCCCGAACCCTCCAGAACCTTGCCCTTGAAGACCCCTCGCGATTCTCCCTCCTTCAAGGCCGCATACAGTTTTGAGGCTTTCCGGTTGGTGCACTCAGCGTAATATTCGAGCGCTTTCTCCCTGGCCTTTCCGTTCTGCTCTCCAACCTCCAACATTCGCTTGAGCACGAGACCTGTGATGTATATCGACAAGACAGGTGGGGTGTTGTGCAAACTGCGACTGCTAATGAGCGTCTTGTATGACAAGCACAAGGGGATGCTGTTGTCCACCACGTTGACCCATTCATCTCTGACGATGACGACGGTCAAGCCTGCTGGTCCGATGTTTTTCTGCGCGCCAGCAAAAATGACGGCGTGTTTTTCTATGCAGGGTATAGGACGCGACATGAAGGACGATGAATAGTCGGCGACGAGAGGGACGTTGTCCGGGAGGGCGTTGAAAGGGAACGATGTAGGGCTATCCAGGTCGTCGTCGAACTCGACGCCATGGACGGTTTCGTTAGCACAGTAGTAGACGAACGCTGGGTCCTGGGAGAACTTTTCTTTGTAGCTCTCGCGATTGGGGATGTGATTGAAAGTCTTCCTCCCGTCCTCGGAGGTGGTTTGTGCGTTGACGACGACATTAACGGTGCCCAGTCCAAGTCTTTTCGCCTCTCTCATCGCCGCCTCACTCCAAGACCCCGTCACTACATAATCCATCAGTGGCCTGTCAGGCGTCGTACCCTCGCGACTTCGATACTTTGCCAGCATGTTCAACACGACTGCAGAAAACTGCGCGGTGCCTCCTCCTTGGGTGAAGAGGATTTTGTAGCCCCGAGGTATCTGTAGAAGTGTCCTCAGGTCTTGCTCTACCTGCTGGATGAACTTGTCAAATTCGGATGAACGATGGGATATCTCTGCGATGCCAATCCCCGTGTTCTGGAAGTTGAGAAGACCTTTTCCCGCCTCTATGAGGACTTCCTCTGGCAGAGCCGAAGGCCCAGCGCCAAAGTTAATCGCTCGATCTGCCATGAGGATGAAGAATCAGCGGTAGAAGCGTTGTTGATTCGTAGTTTACTGTCGTGAATAAATTGGTCCACCAAGGGTTAGTCGGAGTTAGTGAGACGGACACATACTCTTGTTTCTAACTTATGAGTGAAAGTGACTCGGTGGTTGTCGCCCCACAAGAAAATCGTGCCATCGTAACCGATACCAGGGGAATGAATGTCCAAGTGTAACATATCTCCGAGAGTACGCACGACGCTAGAGTTTACTCAAGAAATTTACGTGGTGTGCATGATACCGTATTTGTACGTCACGACAGGACACGTCCCCGGTTAAAGAACAAAAGTCACAAAGTCCAAGTTCATGGGAAAGTGGAAGTATTAGCGTACGAATGATGTAGACTAGGCATCAGTCCGTGGTTGGTCCAAACATCAACAGCTTCCTGCATTGCTACTCTCACCTTCACCTTCCCTCCAGATGCTCTCAAGGGGACCTGGGTCGGGTCTCCGCACGCCGCCGTCTACAAGCTCAACCTGGTCCCCGGCACTGTCACGGAAACGCTGACCATCCTGGGCGGTCGTAGGTAAACAGGCTCGTCGCGCGGAACACGTGGAGAATAGGGGCGATGTGACATTGGGGAGGCAAGCGAGGGAAAGTACTGACGATAGGCAAAGTACGCGATGACAAAAGCCTAAAATGGAACCAGCAACGACATCTCGCCAGTGATCTGGAAAGAGTTGGTGTTAGTCATGCGGCGTCGTTATCGGCGGTTTGTATAAACCATACGTCTATAGTCCATGGTGCGCGAGATGGCCACAAGAGTCGCTGCAAACAAGGGGGTCACAGAGATCCAAGCTTTGTACTGATATATTGTCAAGATGATGAGAAAAATTGATTGAGAAGCCGTCAGCGATACAGTACTTACTGCATGACCCCTTGTATCGAAGAGGTGCATCTTCCCCGCGAGATAGAGAGATAAAAATCCAAGGCCCGCAAAAGACACTACATTAATCACAATCAACCATTTGAAATCGAACTGATGATCGGAAACATACGGCTTGAATGGCCACTGGGGAAGCTTCGCCAGCCATCAAGCATGATCGCCTGGTTAGTCTGAGTGCAGATGGCGTCAGTTGATAATCCATAAGTTGGATCTTGAGATCCCGGGATCGGTACGCAGCGAGAAAGCAGGTCTATAGGTATGTATTGTTAATGGTCGTCACTTGGCACCACGTCAGAATTAGCCCACCTGGACGAGGACGACCGACAGTGATCTTGGTGAATTGGGTGACAGCCGCCGTGATAACCAGACCAAGGATCACTGAGCGAGTTTAATCAGTAGACGCGATGGTAAACAAACCGGAATGACGAACAGCCGAGCGCACTGTTGTGGTAGTCCCAGAAAGAGCGCACAGTCATCAAATTTACGACGAGCTGGATGACTAGAGGGCCACGACAGCGATAAAGTACAGGGCGATATCCTGCCAACAACGAATTCTTTGATAACCGTGGAAATCAACTCGAAGATTGAACATACCGGTACGCGCTCTTTAACTGCATAACTGCATTTGCGATGTCAGTGTTAATGTCGGCTGACGAATATCTATGATGCTCACGGGAAACGAATGCTAGAGAGAATAATTTTCACTTGATCTGTCGAGCTCCGACAGCGCAGAAATGACGTACGTTTCATCGTTTACTGAGAATTCTCTTCTGAATCCATGAACATCATTAAGAGCAAGGAACAAAATTCTGCAACAAATGTGAGTCACTGTTACCAGCTATGCAGGAAAGGTGCGCACGCTATAAGGATCGTGAGGATCCTAGCGAATAGATGAGTATTCGGCAACCACTCTGTGAATTGACGCACCAGTCTGGAGCATAAGACTTGAGGAGTTTGAGACGCCTCCTATTATCAGTTCTCTTTGTCGTGACATTGCCAGGCGACTCGGAATGTCTCGAGAAGAACTTGCCCACTGGCGACATCGGTAAGTCCTCTGTTCAGTCTGGTTCGCGTCGTCAGAAAACGTGTAAAGGGAAATTTTTGACCTTGTGGTTTGGGAACGAGAGCCGTGTAAGCATACATAGTGTGGGTGCTAGTCTATGTGCATGTGAAGTTCCCACAGCCCTAGGCTAGTTTGTAGGTAATATGCCGCATTGTTAGTGGTGAGTGCAAGACATTCTATAACTAGTTCCGGAACATCAACAGGAATAACTATGTGCGGAGTTGGGCGTTAGAGAACTATTCGGGTAAACCGACGGGGGAAGTGTGACCTGTCAGCATACTGGTATCGATATATCCTGGCGTTGAAGTTGTGCACCTTCTTGGCTTTTAGGGCGCCGGGCATAGACTGCCAGGAATTCGGAACACTCAATTGCGTCAGCACTGCCTTTACCCCGAAGTTTGATGCTACATTTCGTGGCCTGACATGACATCCGCTGCCCAAAGCCCCTACAGCCTCTCCAAAGACTTTCAATGGAGTTCAGGTAGAGCAGTGTTACCCGCAACCTCTGTCGTCCCGCTGACAGGTGCACAAAAAGGTTATCAGTCCGCCTTGGAGCAGATTGCTTCCACTGACGTTATAGAGCCAAAGTCAGATTCTCGCCCTCTCGTACACAATGGCGCCACATCTGATCATTAACCAGCACGGAATGGGAGCAACTCCGAGAAATGATAAAGTACAAGATAGAGCAGGTGTGTTTCCCTCGAGGACAGATCTACCCCTTCAGGTATTCCGAATGCCCAGTTTATGCAGTCGCGTTTAGAACATCACATTATTCCTCGCCGAGGCAGCCCAAAACACCCGGCCCGAAGAATCATCAAAACCTACAACAGGGATACCGGATAGCTGCGGAAATCTGAGGCTGCCACCATTTCCTCCTCGCAGGTGGAACGAGCTGAATCCCCACGAGGCTCCTAAAGTCCATATGGACCAAGATGAAGCAACTGACGCGAAGAACCTGATCTTCCGGCAGCTGCACGAATTCGATGAGTGCGTGGGGGTGCATTACTTAGATTGCGTTCGCTGAGCAGGATATCGTTTAGCAAGCCTCCGTTCACCATCCAGCGCGTCTGCGAACTCTGCGTATCCCCACTGCAGCACTACAAATTCATCGGTAAATATCTACGTGCTGTAGAGAAGTCTTTACTCGTCACATCGACGTGGGACGCGTTCCCCCCAGAACCACCCCAAAACGGGTTCTCAATGGCGACACTCTCATTCGGTCCTTCGACGCAA